CTTCTCTGGGAATTCCTCTCCAGAGCCTCCCCACCTTCACAGAGAAGAATTCCTTCCCAAAATTCCATCCAACCCTTCCCACTTTCAGCTTAAATCCAATCCCCCTTGTCCTGTCACTCCATTCCCTCGGGACTGAGGCAGCAAAACTCAGAGGAGAGCACAAATTGTTGTTTCCAGCCCGTTTTTACTCCAGAATAAATCCATTAATGATTTCATCCCTCTGTGAACTGGTGTAAGGAGCAGAATCTCATCTCCTACTTCTACACAACGACATGGAATTGTCCTGTTTCGTGGGAACAGCTGGATGCACTTCACAGGAGCATTCCTCGTGAATATTCATAAAGAATATTATTCATATTCATAGATATTAAAACATATATAATTATTATATAATTATATAATATATGATGTTATAATTACATAATTGCATAATATATAATGTGTAATATAGATTATTATGTAATGTCTATTATATATAATATATATTAAAATATATTATATATATTCTATAATATATATTATATATAATATACAATATATATTATATACAATAGCTATTATATACAATATATATTATATACAATATCTATTATATACAATATATATTATATGTAATATACAATAATATTATAATTATATAATTATAATTATATATCTTATAGATAATATTAAATATAGATATATAATATATACTATATATTATATATAATTATTATAATATAATTATTTATATATATATATTTATTTATATATATGTTTATAATATTCCTATTCCTTACGAGCATCATCCCATAGCAGTGGAAAACTCATCCAGCCGAGCCCTTCCTACTTTTATTCCAGTGACAACTGCCAGGCATCAAATTTAATCACATTTTTCACCAGCTTTTGCATTTTCAATCAACAAAATCCTTTTATTTCCAACAACCTCTGGAAACTCCAGCTTCATCCCTCTTCCTTTTTTTTTCCCTCTTTTCTCCCTAACATTCCTTTCCCCCAGGAGATTCCCTGTGAAATCAGTTCCATCCCAGGGTGGTGCTGGCATTACCATCAGGGACAATTTCCCTCTCTCTGCGTATTTAAAACTCCTCTGATGTCCAAAATCCGCGCAGGAACAGCCCCTGCCCGCCTTTCCTGGGATTTAAAAGCGGTGTGGGAGGAAGTTACAGCTGAGAAATGTGTGACAGAAATAGGGAAACTCCCACTTTTCTGGAATTTAATCCCACTTTTCACGTGCAGAGTTCCCAAAGTGCCAGGAGTTCATTTTCATCCCAAGCTTTGTTGGTTTAAAGGTGAGGGAAAAGCCAAAATATTTCCTTGGTGGGAGTCTGCCATCATTCCTACCCCAATAATTCCTATTATTTTTTAATTTTTTTTCACTTTTATTTAATTTTTAATATTTTGATTTATTTTATTTTTTATAAGTTTATCTTTTGTGAATTAGTTTTTGGTGGAGGAAACCATCATTTACCTCAGGTTTAACTCACCTGGTGGCCACAAATCTCTTTTTATTTTAGTGTTCTCCCTTTCCAGGAATACATTTGTGATATTTACTGCTCTGAGTTTTCACCGTGTCAACATCCAAGGTGAAACCCAGATGCCTCTCAGACCAAACCAAATGGGAAAAATAGAAATATTTCTGCAAACTTTAAAGGCAAATTTTGGCTCAGCTGTTAGGTTTGGGACTGTAAATGGTTCTGGCACCCAAATAAAATCCTGTCATCACAGTGATCACATTCCCCTCACTCCACAGAGAGCTGAAATAAAAATTAAGAAGAGATTCATGTGAATTATCCATGAACAAAATAAGAATCTGATTCCTTGCAGCCTCCTCCCTTGTGATCAGCCCTGCCCTCATTTTCTCTGGCTGTAATTAATTATAAAAGGTGAGAACAGAAAGGTTCTATACTGATAATCCACCCAGGGATTAAAAAAAAGGGGCTGAATTCTGCATTTAACAAAATAAAATTAAATTAAAACCAAGCTCAGCGGGCATCCAGGCAGAGTAAAATTATTTACTTGGGATAAATAGTGAAGGAATTCACAATTGTAATGTGAATTTTGAGCAGTTTAACTGTGCTCTGTCCCAGCCTGTGACAGAACACCTCTGCTGCAGCCACGATTTCCCTGTTAAATCAATAAAATCAATAAAATTATCAATAAAATTGATAACCATCAGCGGTATCAGCTGATAACAAAGCAGGATTTAATAATGTCCCTCTGTAATTTACATTTTTACCATGTAACTCCTCATTTCCCAGTCTGCTGAGATCTCATTGTCCAAACTCGTTTTAATTCGCTCGGATTTGCTCCAGAAAATTCCTCCTTTGGTGAAATTAATTAATTATCTCTGATACCTGGCTCTGGCATCCAAAAAAAACCCACTGAATTTCATATAACACCATGAAAACAATTAAAAAAATTAAATATTAAATTGAGGTTAAAATATTAAATATATTAAAGTTAAAGTATTAATATAAANTCAGGGAGCCAAGTGTTTGTTGCTTTGTTTAAATGAAATCGAGGATTAAATCAGAATTAAATCAAGAATGGAATGGAATTAAATCAGAATTAAATCAAGAATGCAATGGAATTAAAACAGAATTAAATTACGGTTTAAGCACCACCAGACTGAGGTTTGACCTTGGAAAACTCGGGAAACTTGCTGGATTATTCTCTGGATATGGAATTTTGGAATTATGGAATCATCCCTGGAAGTGCCCAAGGCTGGAGAGGGTTTGGAAAAATCTGGGATAGGGGAATGTCCCTGCCCATGGAATTTTTGAGGTCCCTTCCCACCCAATAAAAAATGGATTAAAGCTGATTAATTTCAAATTATGCTGGGAAATAACAGAAACTTGGCTCTGTGGGCTCTGCAGGAAACCTGAAGCAGCCTAAACCAAGTGTTTCACACAGAAAATTATCATTTCAAAAGAACAAATTCATGAATTGTATAGATAAAATATTATTTTGTAATTTTATTTATTCTGTGTATTTTTACCACGTGGAAATACCAATTTGATCAGCTAAATGTTTCCCCAATCGTTTATATATATATATATATATATATAAAATATATAGTTACATATGTTAAATTATTATATATCAAATTACAGTATATTAAATTATATATTCATAATAAAAATATTAATAATATTTCTATATAATGTAAAATATTTTTCTTATAATTATAAATATATATTAATAATTATATTTTATTTAACATATTTAAAATAGATTTCTTATAATTATAAAATATAATAATATGATAGAATATATAAATATTATATATTTTAAATTATATATAATTTTATATAATAAAAAATATATTATTATTTATTATATATTATATAATATCTATTTTTATAATATATAGTATATATAATATATAAAATAAAATATATAAATTATCTAATAGTATATAATAAATATACAAATTAGAAATATATTAAATAATATAAATTATATATTAAATTATTATATATTAAAATGTTTTCCCACTTTTATATATATATTTATATATTTTTTTTTAATTTAGCTTTTTTTAGCTTTTTTTTTTTAATTGAGCAGATTTTATCTGTCTCAATGTTCTGAGCAGTTTTATTTGAAGATTTGGATCTTGATTCCTCTGGTTCAAAAGAGCTGTCAGTGCAAAGCAGATTATTTTTTTTAAATCCAGGCATTTTTTTTCTGACATGAAATGAGGAAGAATCAACTAATTTTAGTATTTATTACTAAAAGTATTAATTATTAATCATTAATCATTAATTAAATTATTAACATAATGTAACATAACATAATGTAATGTAATGTAATATAATATAATATAATGTAATATATAAAATTTATTTTATATATAATGTAATATAATCTAATATAATATATATAATTCATTTTTAATATCATATATCATATCATATATCATATAATATCACATACATATAATATAATATACATATAATATACATATTATCTATTATCTAATATATAATATAACGTAACACAATGTAATGTAATATAACATAATGTAACATAATGTAACATAATATGACATAATAGAATAGAATAGAATAGAAACCTTTATTAATTATTAATAAAATATTAATTTAATATCAAAAATCGAATTTCCTCCCTGTCTGCAAACCCATTTTTTCTGGAATCACGCTAGGAGAGCACTGGGAGCAGAAATACTTGGCTGTGACCAGAGCTGCTAAAAACCCTATTCCAATTAAAAAATAAATCAAAATCCTACGAAACACCTAAAACTGCTGCCAAAAATAGCAATAAAGTTCCTCAAGCACTTAAAACTTGGACATCTGTTTATTTTGTAATATATTTGTATATAGATTATTATATATATGATACATATATATATAATATTAATATAATATATTATAATAATATATACAATTTATATATCTAACAATATATATAATATATATTATACATTATAATTATAAATATAATTATACATATATAATAATATAATATATAATATATAATAATGAAATAGGATATATATTTAATATATAATATATAATATATAATATATAATATATAATATATAATATATAATATATAATATATAATATATAATATATAATATATAAAATATAAAATATATAATAAATAATAAATATCTGTAAATATATATGTGTAAATTTAATTATTTATTTATAAAATAAAATAATATAAAGTATAAATAAATAAATAAAAGAATATAAAATAAAAGAATAAATATAAATCTGTTGCCTCAGTAAATATTAAAAGATGGATCTCCTCATTGCACATTTTAATTTAAACAGAAATAGATTGCTAAGTTTTTCTGAGTCTGGCAGGAAATTTGAGGCGGTGTCACACAAGAATCCAACTTATTTTATTTATGGCAACCCTGCAGGCTTATCTGCATAAATTTGGGTCCTTAAATGTAAATTATTCTTTGCCTCTGGCTGTGTGCAGGTGTAATTAAAGTCGTTTGGATGTCTCATTGCCAGGCAATGTTTGGTGCTTTGCTCTGACTGATTTCAGTGGTTATTTGCGTGGTTTTTATCAATTTAATTTTTCAGAATCGCAGATTTAGGGCATCATTAAGGTGGGAAAAGATCTCTAAAACTTCTGAGCTCAGCATTTCATTAAAGGCTTCTCTCGTTTCGCTGCTTCTCGTGGGTGTAAATCTGGTTTAAGCCTGGAATTGAAGTGGTGTCCACACAAATTTGCCAGAATTTTAGTTTGGTTTTTAGTTATTTTAAAGCAAGTTCCTCACTTTTGGGAATTATCCCACAAGGGGTTGGATTAATCTCACCCAAAATAGAATAGAATAGAATAGAATAGAATAGAATAGAATAGAATAGAATAGAATATAGAAGAAAATATAGAAGAAAATATAGAAGAAAATATAGAAGAAAATAGAAGAAAATAATTAAATTAAATAGAATAAAATAGAATAAAATAGAATAAAATAGAATAAAATAAAATAAAATAAAATAAAATAAAATAAAATAAAATAAAATAAAACAGAATAAAATAAAATAAAACAGAATAAAATAAAATAAAATTAAAATAAAATAGTAGAAAAAAATAAAACAGAATAAAATAATAGAATAGAATAGAATAGAATAAAATGACATAAAATAGAATAAAATGAAATAAAATAAAACAAAATCAAAGAAAATAAAGTAAAATAATAAAATTAAAGAAATAAAATAAAACAAAATCAAAGAAAATAAAGTAAAATAATAAAATTAAATGGAATAAAATGAAATAAAATTAATATAAAATAAAAGAAAAGAAAATAATTTTAAAAAATAAATCTCAATTTCTCTCTGAGCAAGTTGCCCTCTCCAGCTTCATGTTCTGTGCATGACAAGAACTTTATTTTTGGATCATTGCAGGCACTTGGATCCCGAATCCGGGAGCTCCCACCAGCAGCTCCCGAAACCAATCACAGCTCTGTCCTCGGATGCCAGGAACATCCTCCAGGAGCAGAACTCATCCCTGGCTGCCCCAGAGAGCAGGTGAGCTCACCTTGGGCTGGGATGGAGGTTAATTATAAACATCCTGATTAAACTGATCAAATTCATTCGCCACCAAAAATGAACGGTTTCATTTTGNAAGAAATTAGGTCAAAACCTGGTCAAAAACTGATTTTAAATTTAATTAATTAAAGGAAGATAATTTTGTTTGGGAAATTGGTGAACAAAAAATAAACAAAAAACAGTTTTTCAGCTGAGTAGAACAACAGAGATAAGAAGAAATTAGCTCAAAACCTGGTCAAAAACTGATTTTAAATTTAAATTTTAATTTTTAGGATAATTTTGTTTGGGAAACTGGTGATCAAAAATCTGATTTTCACTTTGACTGCCTTGGTGTTCTTAAGGAGTTTGTGCCCAAAAGAAATCCATGCACATCCACTGGATGTGCATAAATAAATGTACAAATAACACAACAAATGTATAAATAACACAACAGCAGCGTGGTGGCACTAAAAAATAAATATTTCCTCTCTGAAATGAGCAACAATTTAATGCTGCAATGCTTTCAAGGGCCTGTGGCTTGGCTGATATTAAAGAGCAAATTAATAACCTCATTATTAGATCTGTAATTATTATGTAATTAAATATTATATAAAATAAAATTAAATATTAAATATTATATAACTAATTATTGGATGAATTATGTAAGTATTTATATAATTAAATATAATTATATAAAAGAGCTGCAGCTCCTTTTTCCCCTCAGCTTTGACGGAGCTGTGAATCACACCCACAAATTACCAAAAATCCTCACCTGAACTACGACATTTTCCAACACCAAAAAAAATTAAAAAAAAAAAAAAAACCCACAAAAAGAATCCAAATTCTAAATTTATCATTTCTTCAAAACAACAAAAGATTTTGTGATTTAATATTGTTCATTCTGGTGCTAAGTAGTGCTTTACCTATTAAATAAGCAAGTTTTTTAAATCTCTTCCCAAACCAATTTAAAAATAGCAACCACATAAATTTACTATATTTTAATTATTATATATTTATGATTATATAATTATAAATATTGTATTAGTATAAAATTATATAATTTATAATATTTATAATTTATATATTAGACTAATATTTATATGTTAATATTATTTATAATTTATATATTAGACTAATATTTATATGTTAATATTATTATTAATATCAATACTATTACTAAACTATTAATAGTATTAATATAGCAATATATAATTTATTATATATGTTATAAGAATATTTATATATTAATATATATAATAATATTTTGTATTAATATTACTTATAATTATATTCCTATATAAATATTTTATATTTATATATAATTATATATAAATTTATAATATATAATTATATATAATATTATTAATAATTTTAATATATAATTATAATAATATAATTTATATATAATATTATTAATAATTTTAATATATAATTATAATAATATAATTTATAATATATAATATAAATAATATATAATTTTATATAATATTAATATTATATTATTATATTAAACTATATTATACATTATATAGAATAATATATATTATTAATGAATAATAATTAAATTAATATATAACATTTAATATTTTATTTAATATATTTAATATAATATTTAATATACATTATATTTTACTAAATTTACTATAGTTTTGTATCCCTGCAAGCTCTAAAAAACAATAATTTTGAGTTATGTGTGGGAATAGAAGGTGCTGAGTCCATTATCTGCTGCAGGGCTCAGAACAAATGCGATTTAGTGCCATTAAAGGAAATTTTAATTAAGGGCCATGGGCTGAGACTGAAAATTAAGGGTTATTCATTCCCTTTAATTTAGGGTATATCTTGGGCTGGTAAAGGAGACCAACACCAATTTTAAAAGTTAAAATCTTGCTGAGCCTACACTTGCAGTCAGAGAAGCTGCTACAGGTCTGACTCTCAGTTCTGGTTTAAATTAAATTAAATTAAATGTTTGCAGCGTTTCCCCTTTGCTCTGGGAAAGCAAAGCAGAGCAACTTCCAGCCAGTAATTTGGGATAAAACACAGAGGAAAAAACAAACAAACAAAAAACCTCCTTTTTTTTTTCAACAAAAATCCAACAAACACTCAGTTTCAGGTATAAACCCCTGTGTTCCTCTGCTTTATTTTCACAAAATTTTCACAAAATTTTCACAAAATTTTCACAAAATTTTCACAAAATTTTCACAAAATTTTCACAAAATTTTCACTTTCGTATTTTATCATCCTTCATTTTTTTTGGCGACAAAACTCCAAAGCTGTTAAGAAACAGCTTATACTTGAAACTGCAAAAAATCAGTTTCGAGGGTGGAAAAAAAACCAAAAACAAATCTATTTTTCTCTGCTTTTTTTCCAAGGGTGTTCGTAGCTTGAAAAATACCCACTTTAAACCCAGGTACGTCCTGCTGGTACCGAAGGACAAAGAGAAATATAAAGAACACCTGAGGAGGACAGGATTGTTCAGCAGGGTGGAGATCGAGGAGGCACTGTCCAGAGTGGACGTGTACCTCCAAATAAACCACGGCTTCCCCGGCTACTTCCACGTGCTCATCAACACAGGTGAGTTAATTGCTGATTGACTTTGGGGTAATTAGGAATTGAGGCGGGTGGGAGAATCCCTTGGGAAAAGAATCAGGGAAATATAAAGAACACCTGAGGAGGACAGGGTTGTTCAGCAGGCTGGAAATCAAGGAGGCGCTGTCCAGAGTGGACGTGTACCTCCAAATAAACCACGGCTTCCCCGGCTACTTCCACGCGCTCATCAACACGGGTGAGTTAATTGCTGATTGACTTGGGGGTAATTAGGAATTGTGGTGGGTGGGAGAACCCTTTGGGAAAAGAATCCCTCGGTTCTTGTGGGTCACCTTCTGTGTTGGTGGTTTTTGGGGTTCTCCGCGTTAAATCGGAGCGCTGTGGGGTAAAATATTGCAACTTTGGAGTTTGCGATTTAAATACAGCCCTAAAAAAATAAAATAATAGGAAAATATTTAGGTGAGTGCAGAGCCTGAATTTCAGCCTTTTTTGAGCTGTTTATGAAAGCTTTCCTCCCCAATAGATGTTAAAAACGTATTTCTGTGTCGAAAAAAAATCTGTATTTCTGTATTTTTTGGGTGAGTTAAAAACGCATTTCTGTGTCAAACTGGTGTGATTTGTGTCTTTCTGCAGATGATCTGGACGAGGCGTTCACAGAGCTGACTCACCTTGTGAAGGTCTACCTGGGCTTGGAGCCACCTGAAATTCTGGACAACATCGAAGGCATCAGGAACAGGGCAGGTAAAGGGGCTGGGAACTCCTGGTTTTATCAGTAGAATATTCCTATTTATCGCTAATTGATGTCCTGAGATCTGTAAATGATGCAGCCTGGGAGAGCTGAAAGCTCCACGAGCTGCTCTCCCAGGCTGGTTCCTCCAGGAGGATGGCTTTGGGACCTGGATGGAGTTTTCTGACTCCTCTGAGGATGGTTTTGGGCTCTGGATGGTTTTCCTGACTCTTTTTTGGGCTCCAATGGAGTTTTCTGACTCCTCTGAGGATGTTTTTTGACCCTGGATGATTTCCCAACTCTTTTTTGGGCTCTGGATGGAGTTTCCTGACTTTTTTGGGCTCAGATGGAGTTTCCTGACTCCTCTGAGGGTGGTTTTGTGCTCTGGATGGAGTTTCCTGAGTCCTCTGAGGATGGTTTTTGACTCTGGATGGTTTCCCAACTCTTTTTTGTGCTCTGGATGGAGTTTCCTGACGTCTCTAAGGATAGTTTTGGGCTCTGGATGGTTTTCCTGACTCTTTTTTGTGTTCAGATGGAGTTTCCTGACTCTGAGGATGGTTCTGGGCTCTGGATCTCCCATTCCAGATAAATCCCAAGTGAGGGGTGCTCATGGCTGAACTTTTTCCTCCCTAACTTGAGCAAGAAGAGACTGGGATGACACCAGGACCTCACTTTTTTCCCCAGGATGGCATAAGGAGCAGGAAAATCAGGATAATAAGATGAGAAGACAACTTAAAAATCCACTCCAAGTGATTCTGGGGTGATCCATTGTTCCCAAATTATCTGTGGTGTGTTTGAAAGAAGCTTTTTAATCCCTGAACGGCCGAGGCTGGAGCCTCATGGCCACTTCATTTAATCCAAGTGCTTGCTGTCATTCCTGCTTTTTTTTGGGTCAGGGAATGGTTCCATGCAAAATTTCGTGGAATTTCTGAGTGGGAAGGGACCCACAAGGATCATCCAGGCACAGACACCCCAACAATCCCACCCTGGGCATCTCTGGGAGCGTTGTCCGAACGCTCCTGGAGAAGTTTTGGGAATGTGCCCATTCCCTGGGGAGCCTGGACAGTGCCCAGCAGCCTCTGAGGGAAAAACTTTTCCTAAAATCCAACCTAAAGCTGGCACAGCTCCGGTTGTTTCCTGTCCCTATCACAGGGAGCAGAGATTGGAGAGACCCCGAGGAGTCTCCCCTCAGCTCCTCCTCTCCAGGCTGAACAAACCACGTGCCCTCGGACCCTCCTCATGTAAATTCCTAAATTAACACGGGAAAAACGAGCCCCAAATCTCCCCCAAACTTTCAGACAGTCTAACTATTTATTATTTTTTATTTATTAATTATTAATTTAATCATTAATCCATGGGCTCCAGGAGGGAAAGGGAGGGAGAAGAACTTCAGTAGAATAAAAAAAATAAAACAAACAAACAAAAAGGCATTATGGTAAAAAGAGGATGTGCAAGATGAATGAAAAAACAAGCTCCTTTTTAGGATTTTTTTCCCTCTGACTCCAGGAGTTTCCATTTATGGATTTGTTTCCATTTTAGATCCATTGGAACAGGGTGGAGAATCAGCTCCCCGAGGAGCACAGAGCCAATATCCACGGCCTGCGTGGCTCGGGAGGGCTGCAAGTAAAAGTAGCTGAAAAAAGGGCAAAATGTCTGAAAACTGTAATAAAGGACAGTGCAATATTCATCACTTCATCAT